AGTAGCTGGGACTACAGGTGCCCACCACCACGCCCAGCTAATTTTTTGTATTTTTAGTAGAGACGGGGTTTCACCGTGTTAGCCAGGATGGTCTCGATTTCCTGACCTTGTGATCCGCCCATCTCGGCCTCCCAAAGTGCTGGGGTTACAGGCGTGAGCCACCGCACCCTGCCTATTTTTTAAGTTTTTAGTAGAGATGGAGTTTCAGCATGTTGGCCAGGCTGGTCTTGAACTCCTGACTCAAGCAGTCCTCCTATCTCGGCCTCCCAAAGTGCTGGGATTACAGGCGTGAGCCACCATGCTCGGCCCAGAGGGCAGCTTAATAATGCCATTCTTACAAAATAGAGCAGTTCTTACTACATGAAACAAAAAAGATTTCTAATACACAAGAAATACTGTACTATACATATAGTTTTACTATGTCAAAGTAAGGTACTTACGTAAATAAATAATCTATTTTATGATTATGTATATGCACAGGTATAGATTGGATTTTTAATTCTTTAATTTTGGGATTTTTAGAAAGTATTTGAAAAGACCAAGTTAGTGTTATATTTAGTGCAAATTAATTGAGTAAAACCATTCAGCTGTCTTGTTTGAAATATTAATAGTTTTGCTACTTTATTCTTTAAGCATATGTTCAGAAATACTTCGTATCTGTGGGTGGACTGGATGTATTGTCTCAAGTTCTCGTGCAACTGGAATCTGATTCACATGAGACTCTTTCCAGTGCTAAACTTGCAGTGGTTGTGACAAAGACTGTGGATGCATGCATTGCTGATAATCGTGAGTGACAGTGCTTACTAGTTTTTTTTGAAATTGAATTTTCTTTGAATATAGCATGAAGAGTGTTGAAATAGTAGATTGAACAGTAACATGGTTTAGACTAACAGTTTCTCACAAGTGGAAGGGAATATTAGAAATTATCCAACATGGCCAGGCGCAGTGGCTCATGCCTGTAATCCCAGCACTTTGGGAGGCTGAGGCGGGCAGATGGCTTGAGGTCGGGAGTTCAAGACCAGTGTGGCCAACATGGTGAACCCTCGTCTCTACTAAAAATACAAAAATTAGCCGAATGTGGTGGTGAGTGCCTGTAATTCCGGTTACTTAGGAAGCTGAGGCAAGAGAATCACTTGAACCCAGGAGGTGGAGGTTGCAGTGAGGGAGCTGAGATCATGCCACTGCACTCCAGCCTGGGCGACAAGTGCAAAACTCTGTCTGGAAAAAAAAGGCAACATTAAATTAAAAATTTCAGGCTGTGTATGGTGGCTCACACCTGTAATCCCAGCACTTTGGGAGGCCAAGATGGGAAGATTGCTTGAAGCCAGGAGTTTGAGACCAGCTTGGTCAACATAGCAAGACTCCATCTCTCAAAAAAAAAAAAAATAATAATAATAATATTCAGATGAGAAACCAAGGGATATTTTTGAGATTAAGGAATGGAAAACCCAATTTATGTAAAGAATACATCTCTTTCTGCTAAGTATGAGGTTGGACTTACCCAACACAGCATTACTAGTGAGTGGCAGAACCATACTTGAACTCATGGCTGCTGCTTCTCACATGTGCAAACACTGAAGAGTAAGAAACTATTGGTATTCACAAACAACTAGGGGGCAAAAAATAGATGGTTTTTTAAAAAGTGGTTATTGAGGGCCTGCTATGTGCTGAGCTTTACAAGTATAAAAATGACTAAGATGTAGTCCCTTGAGGAATTCACAACTTTTTTGTTGATATTAATATTGTTAGACTCTGGGTGAATTCTGTTGAAAGCCACACTTGGAGAAATATAGCTTAAAATGGTGGACTTTTTTTTTTTTTTGAGATGGAGTCTCACTCTGTTGCCCAGGCTGGAGTGCAGTGGTGTGATCTTGGCTCACTGCAAGCTCTGCCTCCTGGGTTTAAGCGATTCTCCTGCCTCAGCCTCCTGAGTAGCTGGTACTACAGGTGCCCACCACCATGCCCGGCTAATTTTTTTTGTGTGTTTTTAGTAGAGACAGGGTTTCACCGTGTTAGCCAGGATGGTCTCCATCTCCTGACCTCGTGATCCACCTGCCTCAGCCTCCCAAAGTGCAGGGATTGCAGGAGTGAGCCACCGCGCCTGGCCAAAAAATGGAGGACTTTTTGACTTTTGTCAGTCTCAGCATAGCTTCGCATAAGCTTCATTGTAAGCAAAACTGTGGTCAGTTAATAGTGTATTTTAAATGACAGCAGGAACTGATTATGTAGGAAAGTCTTTACTATCCAATCTAGATAAGAAGAGGTAGGTAAGGGGAGAGTAAGCATACTCAGCCTTTAGGAAGTTAGTGGTACTTCATCTTCACAGCATTCTGCAGAACAATTAAGAAAAAAAATTCTTCGAAAAATTTGCTTTAGTAATATGTCTTTAGTATGGGAAGAAAGAGTAATGAGGGTTATAGTAATAAGCAACCATCTTATTACAATGAATTTATTTATATTTTATTTATATTCACACATACACATATTTATTAGATGTTATATGTGTATATTTAATGTTATATAGATATATAACATTCTATCTGAATAAGCTGAAAAATGTATATATACATTTATAAGTTTTAAATTTGTACTATCTTTTTTTCCTATTTTATACTAATAGCTACTTTTGGGATAGTACTCTCCAAGTACCACATTGTTTCAAAACTTCTGGCATTACTGCTTCATGAAAGTCTGGATTCAGGAGAAAAATTTAGCATCATGCTTACTCTTGGTCATTGCACAGAGGATTGTGGTAAGTATTGGATTTATTGTGTGTGGTTATTAAAATAGTAGAGTGGAAATATACTTTTATTTTTTCCTTCCAGTCATGTGAAGGTCTTAAAAGTATTGCTTTTCTCCTAGTTATTCAGACCTCAAACTAATCATTTCAGCTTCTAATTCTCCTTCACTCATTGTATTAAGTCAGTCATTAAGACCTGTAGTTCTACTTCTGTTTACCCCTCTTGATCCCTTTCTGTCCAGTTCCAATGCTGCTCTTCTACAGTAGGCCCTCAAACCCATATCTTTCATCAATATTATTGCAGTGGTTTTCTTACTACAGCACAGGGAGAAAGCTCCTTCCCTTCTATCTTCATTTTTCAGTCCACTCTGCACATTGCTGCACAAATCTAATTCTGTTCTCCTTGTTAAAACTTTCAAAGATTCTTTCTTTTTCTACCTATTACTGTCTTCTCTCTCTTTTTCTTCTCCCCCTTTTACTTTCCTCCTCCTCTACTTTCCTCCCATTCTCCCTCTGTTCAATCTACTCCTTCTTACCAATTCTCTCCACTTCCCTCTCTACCCCTCTCTCTTCTTCTGATCTCGTGTCTCTGCTCTTTCAGCTCTCACTTTTCCACTCTCCTCCCTTTGCTCTCTCTTGCTTCTCCCATTCTTTCTTCCTTCCCCTACACTTTCTACTCCCTCCGTTAGTTTATCTATTCTTTCCCTTAACTTCTGTGTAATTTAGGATTGATTATACCCTTTTTCAAACCAAGTGAGGGCAGTTTTACCCTTATGAGTTATGATACTACTCTGTGGCTGCATTTCAGAGATCACTTATGAGACAGGTGTTTTGTGTAAGTGAATTTTTTTTTTTTTTTTGAGATGGAGTTTTGCTCTTGTTGCCCAGATTGGAGTGCAATGGCACAATCTTGGCTCACTGCAACCTCCGTCTCCCAGGTTCAAGCAATTCTCCTGTCTCAGCCTCCCAAGTAGCTGAGATTACAGGCATGCACCACCACGCCTGGCTAATTTTGTATTTTTGGTAGAGATGAGGTTTCTCCATGTTGGTCAGGCTGGTCTCGAACTCCCGACCTCAGGTCATCTGCCCGCCTCGGCCTCCCAAAGTTCTGGGATTACAGGCATGAGCCACTGAGCCCGGCCTTAAGTGAATTATTTTCTATATTAAAAATCCTTTTGGGGGCTAGATGTGGTGGCTCACGCCTGTAATTCCAGCACTTTGGGAGGCTGACATAGGCAGATCACGAGGTCAGGAGTTCGAGACCAGCTTGGCGAGCATGTTGAAACCCTGTCTCTACTAAAAATACAAAAAATTAGCTGGGCACGGTGGTGCGCACCTGTAGTCCCAGCTACTCGGGAGGCTGAGGCAAGAGAATTGCTTGAACCCAGCAGGCGGAGGTTGCAGTGAGCCGAGATCACGCCACTGCACTCCAATCAGAGTGACAGAGCGAGACTCCCTCTCAAAAAAAAAAAAAAAATTCCTTTTGAAACTATGTGTTTCTCTATTTTAAAAATTTGTTGTTGTCGTTGTATTTTTGTTTTTTGAGACAAAGTCTCACTCTGTTGCCCAGACTGAAATGCAATGGCTGGACCTTGGCTCACTGCAGCCTCCACCTCCCAGGTTCAACTCAATTTCCTGAGAAGTTGGGATTACAAGTGCCTGCCACCATGCCTGGCTAATTTTTTTGCATTTTTTGTAGAGACCGGGTTTTGCCATGTTGGCTAGGCTGGTCTTGGACTCCTGACCTCAAGTGATCCACCCATCTCAGCCTCCCAAAGTGCTGGGATTACAAGAGTGAGCCACCGTTCCTGGCCTATTTTTAAAATTTTGAACTATGTTCATAATTATCACAAGGAAGAATTATGACCTCATATAGATAGTTTATGATAAAATCATTGTCCTCTTTAACTGTATGTTTTCCAGAGGAAAATCAGTATGACCTTTTTAAAAACAATGGGCTTCCACTCATGATTCAAGCCTTAACTGAATCTCAGAATGAGGAACTGAACAAAGCTGCCACATTTGTGCTTCACAACTGCAAAAAAATTAGTAAGTGTACTATTACTTTAAGAACATACCAACCAAGGTTTATAAAGGGGAATTTATATCTGCTTTCATGAGCCAAGGCCTTTTAGCTCTCAGATTCTTCTTACATTTGAAAAGCAGAGTAGGCCCTGCACAGTGGCTCATGCCTGTAATTCCAGCACTTTGGGAGGCCAAGGCAGGCAGATCGCTTGAGTCCAGGAGTTCAAGACCAGCCTGGGCAACATGGAGAAACTCTGTCTCTATTTAAAAAAAAAAAAAAAAAAAAGAAAGAAAAAATTATCTGGCCTGGTGGCACACGCCTGCCAGCTACTTGGGAAGCTGAGGTAGAAGGATCATCTGAGCTCAGGAAGTGCTCAGGTTGAGGCTACAGTGAGCTGTGTTTGCACCACTGCCCTCCACCCTGGCTCATATAGTAAGACCCTGTCTCAAAAAAAAGTCAGAGTGTATAATTTGGACATGACAACTAGGGTATATTCAGCATATACAAACCCATGTGGAAGAGAGCAGCAGTATAGATAATTCACTATTTTATGCCATGTGCACAAATTTAGTTTGCAGGAATTAAATTTGTGGACTAAGGGTTATTTATTGTTAAATCGTAAGTACATTTATTTATTTTTAAATGTCTGGGCTGGGCGCGGTGGCTCACGCCTGTAATCCCAGCACTTTCAGAGGCCTAGGCAGGCGGATCATGAGGTCAGGAGTTCGAGACCAGCCGGGCCAACATGGTGAAACCCCATCTCTACTAAAAATACAAAAAAAATTAGCCAGGCATGGTGGCGCACACCTGTAGCCCCAGCTACACGGGAGGCTGAGGCAGAAGAATTACTTGAACCCCGGAGGCAGAGGTTGCAGCAAGCCGAGATCATGCCACTGCACTCCAGCCTAGGCGACAGAGCAAAACTCCGTCTCAAAAAAAAAAAAAAGTTTGAGTTTCTGTTATGTGCTGGGCAGTGTGCTAGGCATCAGGGACATCAGGGATACAGTGATAAAAAAACAGTCTGTGTATTCACAGAGCTTAGTTTAACTAGAGAAATAGTAACTCAAAAAATGAGATTATGTGTTATTATAAATTGACATAAGAAATATAAGGGGATAGACCACAGGTCTTTAATAGCCTATAACAAAGAAATCTGGTCTAGACGTGGAGCAGAAAAGGCTTTGGGAGGAAGTGATTCTTGAGCTGAGAACTGAATGTCTAGGGTTAATTAGGTGAAAAGAAAGGAATTTGTTATCAGCGAGCATCTCAGGCATAAGCAACAGTGAGGCACAAAGGCCCTGTGATAGGAGGGAACCTGGTGCACTTAAGGAATTGATGGCCAGTGTAGCTTGAGCTCAGAGGGCAGTGGCCATGATAAGAATTTTGATCTTTGTGGAAGAAAAACTGCAGACACAGTATGTTTAAAAAAAAAAAAAAAGATTATAGGAAGGAATCAATTTATGAACATTGTTTTTTTAAAAAACTACTTTATTTTTGAGACAAAGTCTCAGTTTGTCACCGGGGCTAGAGTGCAGTGGTGCAATCTCTGTTCACTGCAGCCTCTGCCTCCTGGGTTTGAGGGAGTCTTGTGCCTCACCCTCCGGAGTATCTGGTATCTGGTACTACAGGTGCGTGCCACGATGCCTGGCTAATTTTTTTTTTTTTTTTTTTTAGAAGAGGCGGAGTTTCACCATATTGGCCAGGCTGGCCTTGAGTTCCTGACCTCAAGTGATCCTCCTGCCTCGGCGTCCCAAAGTGCTAGGATTACAAGTGTGAGCCACTGTGCCCGGCCTAAAAAGCTAACTACTTTAAAACCAGTATGCATGTACCTGAGAGCGTTTATGTGCCTGGCATAACATATTTGCATGTTTTTTCTCCTGTAACTCTGAAGAGTAAAGTCTAATTTATGACTGTTCTCTTCCACTTACTTTTCAGTACTAATTAAGCTGTTAAGATAGTCTGGATGGAAAAATTTAGAGAAAGGAGAGGGTGGGGTGTGAGGTTGTCCTTACATATAAAGTGTTTAAATAACCTTTCATTCGTTGTGTTTTTCCCATATTACAAAGCTGAGAAATTATCTCTAAGTCTAGGAGAATATCCTTTTGATGAAAATGAAACACAGCAATTAAAAGACATAAATGTGAAAGAGAAGAATCTTGAAGAGCACTGGAGGAAAGCAAAGGAAATTCTACACAGAATAGAGCAGCTTGAAAGAGAAGGAAATGAGGTTGGATTCTTTGTTTTAAAGAATATATAGAACTTTTTTCACATTTTTAAAATGTCTTTTTTTCTCCATACTACAGTGACATATACATTTAAAAAAAATTTTTTTTGAGACAGAGTCTTGCTCTGTTGCCCAGGCTGGAGTGCAGTGACGCAATCTTGGCTCACTGCAACCTCCGCCTCCCAAGTTCAAGTGATTCTCATGCCTCAGCCTTTCAAGTAGATGTGCGCCACCACACTCGGCTAATTTCTTTGTATTTTTAGTAGAGACAGGGTTTCCTCATGTTGGCCAGGCTGGTCTTGAACTCCTGACCTCAAGTGATCTGCCTGCCTTAGTCTCCCAAAATGTTGGGAATACAGGTGTGAGCCACCATGCCCAGCTGATATTTTTTAACAGTAGAGATTGGAGGGTGAAAAATTTTTTCTTCCCAAGTTGTTTTTTAAAGTTTTAAATAGAAAACTCCATAGTAATACTTGAAGAATCATGCTTTGACATAAAACAAAAAAAAGATTTTTAAAAAGTAGAAATGATGACTGAAAAGACAGGAAACATGGAATATTGAGCCAAGAGATCTAACATCTGAATAATTGGGGTTTAAGAAAAGACAAAAGTAGTAATAATCTAATAACCTCTTTCCTCTCTATATAAATATATTTATGTATGCATACTTTATGTCTTTGTATATGCATATATTTAAAAAAATAAAAACGTAGTGTCCAAGTTAGTATAATATAGTGATTTTATTATTTTAATTGTCTGAGTAGTATTCACTGTTGCAGATGTGCCATAATTGATTTAACCAGTCCTTTATTGATGGACATGTAAGTTATATTTAAATTTTTACCATTGCAAACAACTCTAAATACCTGCTACACATGTACCTGTGTGTGTGTGTGTATGTGTGTGTGTGTGTGTGTGTGTGTGTGTATTCTGTAACAGCTTTAATGATATATAATTCACAAACCTTACAGTTCACCCATTTAAAGTACAGTCAACCCTTGGTATCTATGGGGGATTGGTTCCAGGACCTCCCACAGATCCCCAAATTCATGGATGCTGGAAACTTTAGGGGAAGTTTAGGCAAGTTATTTAATCTCTTTGTGCTTTAGTTTCATCATTGATAAATGGAGAAAATAATAGTACCTCTCAGATACCTAGATAGACATAGTTTTTATTATGAAAGATACTGTCAAATTGTTTCGCCACAGAAGTTATATCAGCTTACACTCCCACTAGTAATGTTTAAGAGTACATATTTCGCCACAGCCTTTTGATCTTTGTCAGTGTAATAGATGAAGAAAAATATCTCAGTGTAGCTTTACTATTTATTTATCTCAAGCGGGATGGGACATTTTTTCTTGTGTTTAAGAGCTATTTATATTTCCTTTCCTATAAACTATCTGTTCATCTTCTGTGCCTGCTTTTCCGTGCTATCATTGATCTTTTTCATATTTCATTGTAGTAACTTTTTATAAATGTTATTTTTAAAAATTATCCTTCAGCTTGGGCAACATGGCAAAACCCTGTGTCTACAAAAAATACAAATTAGCCAGGTATGATGGTGTATGCCTGTGGTCCCAGCTACTCAGGAGACTGAGGTGGGAGGATTGCTTCAGCCTGTTAGATGAAGGCTGCAGGGAGCCAAGATGGCGCTACTGCACTCCAGCCTGGATGACAGAGCGAGACTCTGTCTCAAAAAAAAAAAAAAAAAAAAAAAAATATATATATATATATATATATATATCTCCTGTTGCTTAAGATATGCTTTATACATATTATTTCTGGGTGTTTTGATTGTCATTTGGTTTTGCTTCTGGTTCTTTATTCCTGAGATCCCTGCCCAGAGTAACGTTTTTGATCTCTAGCAGAATTAAAAAAAAAAAATTTTATGTGGTTGAGTATAACAGTTTTCGTTTATTATTTAATTTTGGGTAATACTTTGAAAGGTCTTATACCCCTTGAGAATATTAAAATATAATGGTTTCTTTTAGAACATATATGACTTTGTTTTTGTATTTAAATATATTTGTTTCATTTTGACTTTATCTTTGTATAAGCTGTAAGATATTCAACTTATTTTTTCACCAGATGGCTACTCAATTGTCCCAATGTCGTTTAATGAATAAACTCCCTTTTCTTCCTAATGTAAACTGTCTTTTATCATATATGTTCTATTGGTAATCATAAACTTTTTCTTCATTCTTCATTATTTAAATGGAGTATAAATTGGGTTATAAAGGGAATGCATTATATTGAAATTATTTCTTGTCATTTTTACACTATAGGAAGAAATACAAAGAGAAAACTGTCAGGGTAATATTTCATCTATGAACATGAGTATTCAGAATACATGGAAACATCTCCATGCAGATCATATTGGTCGAGCTACCAAAGCAGAAGATGAGGATAAAAGCCATTCTAGACAGTTTCAGAGTTATAAGTCCCATGGAGTCATGTCTAAAGCATGTACAAATGATGACCAAATGAAGACACCATTGAAGAGTGCAAATCCAGTCCATGCTTGTTATAGGGAGAGTGAGCAAAATAAGTCTTTATATAAAGCCAAGTCAAGCTGCAATCAAAACTTACGTGAAGAAACTACTTTTGAAAAGAATTTTATTTCTCAATCAAGGTATAGTTTAATAATTATGTGTAACTTTTATTTATTCAGCGAGTATTTATTGTGTACTACAGTATGCCACACTGTTAAATACCGGGCATATAGAAATGACATGATGAAACACGGTCTTGGGAAGGGCGTAAAGTAGGAAGTGTTGGGAAAGGGGTTTGGATGGGGAGGTATGGGCCAGTTCATCTAGAGCCCTGCAATGTAATACTCTGGATTTTGGGGTTTAACTCACAGGGTATAGGGAGTGATTGAGGATTTTAAATTAAGTGGCGTAACATAGTTGAATTTTAGAAAGGGTACTCAGAAAATAAAACCTAAACGGAAACCCTTTACTTGAAGTAACAATGCATGCATTGATAATCTATCAGCAGTATAGCAAAAACTAGTTTTTAAATTTAATGTGATAAAGGGAATAGGATGTGAATAAAATTTGGTTTGGGTTTGCCCTTTTGTTTGTTCCCTGCACTTTGTCTCTAGAACATAGTCTTTTTCCCTTGCAGTTAGTTTGTGGGGCTAGACCCGGGATTGTAGCTTTTCTTAAACCCTTTACTGGGTTGTGCTCTTCTGATGGTTACAGTACTTAGGAAAAATGAAGAGGATGCTGCTACATTTTGGACAGGTTGAAGGGTAAACTAAGTACCAAGAAGAAGGGTTACATCAATACCACCCCTTTTATCTGTTTCAAGACCATTCTTGATGTTAATTTTAACTTGATTTCTCAGGTATGGGAATTGGGAAGCAGTAAGATATGGTCCTGGGCCAGCCTTCTTGACCTCCATCCTAAGCTTTCCACACCCATAGCCTTCTTTCTTCTATAGGGTTAGCCATATTTCCTTTTCTTTTTTTTTTTTTAAAGAGAGAGAGAGAGAGAGAGTTTCGCTCTTGTTGCCCAGGCTGGAGTGCAATGGCGCGATCTCAGCTCACTGTAACCTCCACCTCTCAGGTTCAGGTGATTCTCCTGCCTCAGCCTCCTGAGTAACTGGGATTACAGGCATATGCCACCATGCCCGGCTAATTTTTTGTATTTTTAGTAGAGATGGGGTTTCTCCATGTTGGTCAGTCTGTTCTCGAACTCCTGACCTCAAGATCTGCCCGCCTCAGCCTCTCAAAATGCTGGGATTACAGGTGTGAGCCACTGCACGCGGCTAGGGTTAGCCATATTTCTACCTCAGCCAAGTTATTAATATTTTCATCTCTTTGAAATGCTTTTTTCCTCCTACAAATATATGTACATAGACAGATAGCTGTAATTATAAAGCTACTGCTATGCCTGCTACCTGATCTACAGTTCTTGCCTTTTTCTGTACTATTATCATTGTGACAGTATAATCAAAACTTGTATTTATTCATCAAGGACTACAGGGTTCAAACACACAAATGTTTTGGGGGTTAGGAAGGATTTTTAAATTCAGGTCTTTAAATGATTATTGTTAGCACTTTGCCATCCTGCACCCATGTTCATTTTTGCTCCCACTGATTTTGTTATCTCCTTTTTGCCTTTATCTCTCCTACTTCCTTCTTTTTATAATCTTTTTCTTCCAAGTTTCATCTGGCATCAATACTATTGCCCTCTGGAGTCTTATTTGACTCTAGCTCTAGAAACAAGGCTTTAATTGTTGCAGGCCCTACTTTGGCAGAATTTGGTAGATTTTGGTCGATCATGATTCCAGGTTGCTTTTGCCCATAAAACTCTGAAAATCACAACACTGCTTACAGAAACATTGGTCCACACACCAAAGAGTATGTTTACTTTTAGTAATCTGGTGTTTATTTTCTTTTAGTGACCATGTTTTTAAACACCCAGTTCACATTGCCAAAAATATAAAGCAGCAGTTACCAGTAACAGGTATGATTAAAAATGTTTCTTTGGTTTTTCAATAAAACAGATATTTAGGTAACCATATAGCTAAAAATGTACATTGGCTGCATGCAGTGGCTCACGCCTGTAATCCCAGCACTTTGGGAGGCCTAGGTGGGCGGATCACCTGAGGTCAGGAGTTCAAGACCAGTTTGGCCAGCATGGTGAAACCCCCATCTCTACTAAAAATACAAAAATTAACCAGGCGTGGTGGTGGGCACCTGTAATCCCAGATACTCAGGAGGCTGAGGCAGGAAAATTGCTTGAACCCAGGAGGCAGAGGTTGCAGTGAGGTGAGATCACACCACTGCACTCCAGCCTGGGCGACAGAGTGAGACTCCATCTCAAAAAAAAAAAAAGGTCCATTGGTATATTGGCCCTCTAAAGTATAAGCCATACCTTTGACTCTTTCTGTTGTAAATCCCTTCTATTAAGATCCAGAATCTTTCTGTTTATTCACCAGCATGACTAGAGGCATAGTACTAGGCTAAGGTTTATGAAAAGCTTGATATTTAATAAATCCTTAAAATATCTGATTCTTTTCATTAATCCAAAAATCCTTCATTTTGCAATTTTTTTCCAGATCCATTTACATTATGTTCAGATATAATAAATAAAGAAGTAGTCAGTTTTCTAGCAACTCCCAGTTGTTCCAAAATGTTGACGTATAGGTGCTCAGGTAAGTATTTTTTTAATTGCAGTTGTTTCACAGTAAAAGCCTTTTATGATATTAATTAACTACAATTTTTTTTTTTTTATACGGAGTCTCACTCTGTCACCCAGGCTGGAGTGAAGTGGCAAGATCTTGGTTCACTGCACTCTCCATCTCCCAGGTTCAAGCAGTTCTCATGCCTCAGCCTCCCAAGTAGCTGGGATTACAGGTGCTCACCACCACACCTGGCTAATTTTTTTTTGTTTTTTTGTTTTCGTAGAGACAGGGTTTCACCATGTTGATCAAGCTGATCTTGAACTCCTGACCTCAAATGATCTGCCCGCCTCAGCTTCTCGAAGTGCTGGGATTACAGACATGAGCCACTGCGCTTATTGTAATTAAGTAGAATTTATAATAATTCTACGCATATGATTTACTTTGTTCCCTTTGGAGAAATAATATTGTGGAGTATCAAAGCATTCAAATTAATATCTTCTATCTGGGCCAGGTGAGGCAGCTGTAATCTCAACACTTCGGAAGGCCAAGGCTGGAGGATTTCTTGAGGCCAGGAGTTCAAAACCAGCATGGTCAACACAGCGAGACCTTGTCTCTGTAATTAAAACAAAACAAAACCAAAACAAAACAAAACACCTTTTATCAGCATCAGGCTGAGCTTCCAATATTTGTATGTATGAATCAACACAGTTAGTACCTTTTTATTACTTTATTACCTTTTTGTCATAATACCATCTATAAATTTAACCTTACTGAGTAAACATTTTTTAATGTTTTCAGAGAACCAGTTATTACTAGGTATGCATTCTGGATTATCCTGTAAACATAGGCATTAAGTTTTTAAAATACCTATTTTTATATTTATAATATGTAAATGTTTCTAGTGTTTCATGTCCATTATTTATTTTTTCTGCAGGGCTCTTGTAAATGTTCCACAATACTTATTCCATCCCTTCTCCTCCTCCTTCCCACCCTGGTATTTCCTCTTTGTTCATCTTGCTGTTGTACTCTGCTCTATGGACGAAATTGAGGTTCTCTGTATTCGGCTCAGAACATCATTGTTCTTCCCTCTTGGATGAAGAGGTTATCTCTATTCCTCTAAAACTGATGTGTAGCCATAAGCTGAATCCCATATCTTTTTTTCCTCCACATTTTAATACTAATTGCAAAATCTTTCTCTTTACTCCCATTCTATCATTAACTCCTTTTGTTCCACCTTAAACTATGCTTGTTTCTCCTCATCTCAAAAAAATACCCAATAGAGCTGGGCGTGGTGGCTCACGCCTGTAATCCCAGCACTTTGGGAGGCCGAGGCGGGCGGATCATAAGGTCAGGAGATCGAGACCACGGTGAAACCCCGTCTCTACTAAAAAATACAAAAAATTAGCCGGGCGCTGTAGCGGGTGCCTGTAGTCCCAGGAGGCTGAGGCAGGAGAATGACGTGAACCTGGGAGGCGGAGCTTGCAGTGAGCCAAGATCGCGCCACTGCACTCCAGCCTGGGGGACAGAGCGAGACTCCGTCTCAACAACAACAACAAAAACAAAACAAAACAAAACAAAACAAAAACACCCAGTAGTTTGTTTGATTTGCTATCCTTTCAAGTATTCATTCACTCCTCCCAACAGATGCACGTATCCCATTAGAAAGTAAATGTATTAGGCCGGGTGCGGTGGCTCATGCCTGTAATCCTAGCACTTTGGGAGGCTGAGGCAGGTGGATTACCTGAGCTCAGGAGTTCAAGACCAGCCTCGTCAACACAGTGAAACCCTGTCTCTACCAAAATTCAAAAAATTAGCTAGGCATGGCAGCATGCGCCAGTAATCCCAGCTACTCGGGAGGCTGAGACAGGAGAATTGCTTGAACCTGGGAGGTGGAGGTTGCAGTGAGCTGAGATCATGCCATTGCACTCCAGCCTTGGCAACAGAGCAAGACTCTGTCTCCAAAAAAAAAAAAGAAAATGTATTTAATAAGAATAAAGTACAAATATTTCTTTCAATTTAATTGTATTATTTTTTAAAAGGCTACTAAGTTGTTAGAACATAAATACTTATTAAGTTGTTTTGGATCTGACAGAATCATTAGGCATTTTTTTTGGCTTATAGGTGCCATGAACCTAGAAAGTTTGGGAATCTCTGGTCAAAAGTATTCTAGGTGGCAGAGTGGATGTTCTGTAACTGCTAACCCCCTTTCATCTCTTAGTTTGTATGAGATGGTTCTTTCCTGGTTACCATTCATTCATTCCACAAACATTATGGAGTGCTTAGTCCTTGGCTGGCACTGGAATCTAAGATGAATAGAACTCAGTCTTCACCTTTATCTTTCTCTTCCTGCCAGATTTCCACATGTATTCTCCTCAAGACCTAGTCTATAGCACTTACTCAGTTCTTTCACTACATTTACTTTTGTAGCATCATCTATCATTTTATTGATGGTTTTCAAATATGTATCTTGACTTTTGGCTTCTAACCTGGGCCTTATTCTTTCATTTCCAGTAGTTCTCAGCACATACCCACTTGAATATCTTCTTGTTACTTTAAGCTTAATGTATCCTAAACACAACATCCACAGCATCTTTCTTCCTTTTAAATTGGCCTCCCCCCTCACTGCATTTCTGTCAGTGGTGCCACTATTTGTCTGCTCTCCCAGACTTTAAGCCTTGAATCATCCATGACTGTTCTCTCTCATTCCATCCGTTATTTCTAGTCTATCAAATTTTGTTCTTTTTTGCCACATAGGCCCTTTTCGTTTCATGCCTAAATTATCACAGCAATTTTATCTAGCAGTCTTTGTCTTAAGCACCTCCAACTCCCAACTATAATATGCATATCACTGTTAACTTATCTTCTTAATATGTGCTTTATCGTGTCATCATGCTAAACAACCCTCAGTGCTTCTCTGTAACCCATTGAATCAAGCTCTCTGCCTGGCTTTCAAAGTTGTATAGAATTTTGTCCTGCTTCCACTTGTAAAAATTTACTGTACATTTACTCTGAATCTGCTAGAAATGTGCTATGGTTATTTCAAACTTTGCCATTTATTCAAGTACTGAATTTCTTGAGAGTTATCCTAAACTGTTTCCCTTATCCCAACAGCTCATTATTCATCAAACCCTGCTAATTTTACATCAGAAATCTCTCCATTCTCCCTGCAAATGCCTTGTTTCAAAATCCCTTCATTTATTTTCTGGACTACTAAAGTAACCTCTCAACTGATCCTCTTGCGTTCAGGTGCCCTTTCTACAAGACAAATGAAATTGTGTCATCTTCCTGCTTTTATTTCTATGTTCCTCCCTGTTGCCTTGAAGAGAGTTAAAATTCCTTAACATGGTTTTCAAGATTCTTCTTGGTCTGGTTCCCTGCAACCCTCCCCAGCCCCACCTTTTCTCCTGTACTTCTCTGTACTCTAGCCATATTAGAGTGTCCATGATTCTCTGAGCACTATGCTTTTTCACACTTCAGTGGTTTTGCACATCTTCATTGTACTGAAATGTCTTCATCTCAGCCAACTATCTGCGTGGCCAACTTCTAGTCCTTTAGGAATGGGCCACTAATACAATTAGGTGACAAACTGATGGAGAATTTTATAATGGACAGACATGGCTGACATTACCTGAACCTACCAATCTATCTATTTTTAAAAAATGTTTTTCCAACTTTTATTTTAAGTTCAGGGATACATGTGCAGGATGTGCAGGTTTGTCACATAGGTAAACATGTGCCATGGTGGTTTGCTGCTGATCTTTCTTAATATTTAAGAAAAGAGGAAGTTTGTCTAACCCTATTGGCTCAAGAGGCTGCCCAATTACAATTTTTTTTTTTTAAAAAGAGACAGACAATATGTATCTCTTAATATGATACAGTAAGAAACATACAATACTACCTGCATGGAATTCTAGTAAAAATACTTGAACCTGAATCTGACCAATCATTTAGATTTAATTACTAGTTTATAGGACACACAACATTTTAAAGGACACGACTAACATTTTGCAATCAGCAAAACTTAGCCTTTGAGAAACTGTAGTACAAATGACCTGGTATCTTCATTTGACAAGGAAGACAGGGGAACTGATAGATTAAAAGCCCCTTGACATATGTTAACCGAATGTAAGTCAGGCACAGTGGTGCGTGTGTCTGTAGTTCCAGCTACGTGGGAGGCTGAGGTGGGAGGATTGCTTGAGCCCAGGAGTTCAAGTCCAGCCTGAGCAACATAGTGAGACCCTGTCTCAAAAAAAAAAAAAAAAAAAAGTAATGGTGGACCTTATTTGGATCATGATTCCAACAACTAACTTTCAAAAGAAATTTTTGAATTGATGAGGAAAATTGAACACTAAATATTAGGTTATATTAAGCATGATTTTTTAGGTGTCATAATAGTTTTATGTGTTTACAAAAAAGAGTCCTGGCCGGGCGTGGTGATGGCTAATACCTATAACCCAGCACTTTGGGAGGCTGAGGCAGGTGGATCACTTGAGCCCAGGAATTCGAGAACAGCCTGGGCAACATAGTGAAACCCATCTCTAAAAAAAATACAAAAATTAGCTGAGTGTGGTGTTGCATGCCTGTAGTCCCAGCTACTTGGGAGGCTGAGGTCAGAGGATTACTTGAACCCAGGAGTTTAAGGCTGTAGTGAGCTGAGATCACGCCACTGCACTCCACCCTGGGTGACAGAGTGAGACACTATCTCAGAAAAAAACGTCCTGGCTGGGTGCAGTGGCTCACACCTGTGATCCCAGCACTTTGGGAGGCTGAGGTGAGAGGATTACTTAAGCCCAGGAGTTTGAGACCAGCCCTGGGAATATAAGGAGACCCTATGTCTACAAAAAATAAAAAAATTAGCCAGGCGTGGTGGAGGTCAGGGCTAAAAGTGAGCTGTGATCATACCACTGCACTCCAGCCTGGGCTAAAAGTGAGCTGTGATCATAGCACTGCACTCCAGCCTGGGTGACAGGGAGACCCTGTCGCAGGAAAAAAAAAAATCCTTATCTGTTAAAGATGCATGTGAAGTATTTACAGATGAAATGATACTTTAATGTAAATGATAGGTGTCATAATCCAGTGCATACATGGGGACAGAGCTGAGTAGGTAGAGGTATACATAAAACATGATTAGCCATAAGTTAATAATTATCGAAGCTGGATGATAGATACATGGGAGTTCAGTGTTTGAAATTTTACATAATGTTAAAAACAAAAAAGATGACTGAGCTTAAGGATCACTTCTTTTGGATATCTTCCCTTAACAGTGACTCTTGCTCAAAACCAGACAAAATAGATATTCCTTTTTCTTTTTTTTTTTTTTTTGAGACAGTCTCACTCTATCGCCAGGCTGGAGTGCAGTGGCGTGAGCTTGGCTCACTGCAATCTCTGCCTCCCGAGTTCAAGCGATTCTCCTGCCTCAGCCTCCCGAGTAGCTGGGATTATAGGGGCGCACTAATACACTCAGTTAATTTTTGTATTTTTAGTAGAGACAGGGTTTCACCATGTTGGCCAGGATGGTCTCCATCTCCTGACCTCATGATCTGCCCGCATAGGTCTCCCAAAGTGCTGGGATTACAGGCGTGGGTCGTCCAACCCAGCCTTTTTTTTTTTTTTTTTTTTTTTTTAAGAGACAGGGTCTTATTCTGTGTAATAACGTGATCGTGGCTCACTGCAGCCTTGAACTCCAGGTCTCAAGGGATTCTCCTGCCTCAACCTCTTAAGTAGCTAGGACTACAAATGTGTGCCACCAGGCCCAGCTAATTTTTTTTTTGTTTTTGTTTTTGTTTTTGGTAGGGACAGGGTCTCACTATGTTGCCCAGGATAGTCTCGAACTCTTGAGCCCAAGTGATCCTCCCACCTTGGCCTCCCAAAGTGCTGGGATTACAGGCATGAGCTACCACTCTCAGCCCTAGATGCTTTTTCTTTTTTGTTTTCCTTTTATTTTTTGAGAGAGTCTTGCTGTCACCCAGGCTCAAGTGCAGTGGTATGATCTCGGCTCACTGCAACCTCTGCCTTCCAGATTCAAGTGATTCTCCCACCTCAGCCTCCCAAGTAGCTGGGATTACAGGCACCTGCCATCATGCATGGCTACTTTTTGTACTTTGAGTAGAGACAGGGTTTCACCATATTGGCCAGGCTGGTCTTGAACCCCTGACTTTGTGATCAGCCCACCTTGGTCTCCCAAAGTGATGGGATTACAGGTGTGAGCCACTGCGCATAGCCTAGATGCTCTTTTGCTTTTCTTGTGTTTCTTTATTTTTATTTTTATTTTTATTTTGAGACAGAGTCTTGCTCTGTCGCCCAGGCTGGAGTGCAGTGGCGCAGTCTTGGCACACTGCAATCTCCACCTCCTGGATTCAAGCGATTCTCCTGCCCCAGCCTCCCAAGCAGCTGGGACTACAGGTGCATGCCACCATGCCCAGCTAATTTTTATTTTTAGTAGAGATGGGCTTTCATCATATTGGCCAGGTTGGTCTTGAACTCCTGACCTCGTGATCCACCCACCTTGGCCTCCCAAAGTGCTGGGATTACAGGCGTGAGCCACCGTGCCCAGCCTAGATGCTCTTTTTCTAAAGCATCATAACTGTCTGTCCATACCTCCTTCCCAGCACTTACTTCACTCTGTTGTATTTGTTGTCTTTACTCCCTCACATGATTTTGAGCTTTTTGAGGTGTTTATATTCCTGATTTTACTTCAGTTACCATCATATAGATATTTGCTTTCATAGATTTGTTACTAGATATTTTATGACATCTACACATAACTTTAATTTGTTTTCTTTTAGGTTGCATAGCAGTAGAAAAATCCCTGAATAGCCGAAACTTTAGCAAGCTCTTGCACTCTTGCCCATACCAATGTGATCGTCACAAAGTCATTGTGGAAGCTGAAGACAGATATAAAAGTGAACTAAGGAAATTACTTATCTGTAACAAAAGTAATTAATTCAGCAGCTTTAAAACTGTAATTATGGCTATACCTTCTGAACTATTATCTAAAGCATTAAATATATCAAAAACTAGAGGGTAAAATAATCTTAAAAAGAAAATCTGTCTCTAAGCAACCAGTAATTCAAGATGTACCCAGGGAGTAGTCTTAGACTGTTAGTTTAAAAATTCTTCCTAATCTATCTAAGTATTCCCACTAGACGGGGGAATAAAGGAAAATATACTAATGGAATTGATACGCTATTACTCAGATTGATATGCTAAGTGTCCTAAATGTTTTCCATATTTTTCAGAAATTCTGCTGACCCCACGTAGAAGACAACGACTCAGTAATGAATCTACTACCCCTGGAAGAATAAGTGAATATATTTAATTTAATTTTTTTTTTTTCTCGAGACAGGGTCTGGCTCTGTCACCCAGGCTGGAGTGCAGCGGAGCAATCTCTGCTCACTGCAGCCTCCGCTTCCCAGGTTCAAGTGACTCTCCTGCCTCAGCCTCCTGAGTAGCTGGGATTACAGACACGTGCCACCATGCCCTGCTAGTTTGTGTATTTTTAGTAGAGATGGGGTTTCACCATGTTGGCCAGGCTGGTCTCAGACTCCTGACCTCAAGTGATCCGCCCGCCTTGGCCTCCCAATGTGCTGGGATTACAGGCATGAGCCATTGCACCTGGCTGAATATATTTTATTTTTAAATGAACTTAAATTTCATATATTCCTGAGAAAGAAGAGAACAGCTGAGTAGTTGTTCTCAGTCTCATTATTAACGGATCTTAAATGATAAACCTTGCCTCTGATGAGGGTCAGACCTAATAAAAGAGACTTTCCTCTTCCCTTCATGTTGCTTGCTCACTCATTGCCTGCTAGCAGGGGAAGGAGCAGGAGGATACTAACATTTATTAAGCACCTGCTAGGTGTTAGATGGTGTATAGATATTATTTCCTTTAGTTCCTATGGTAATATTGTAAGTTAGATACTAATTTGCTCCTATTGTAAGGCATAATTATTAATAGTTGGTAAGTAGCAGAACTTAGATTCAAAAAGCCATTCTCCAGAAGCCCTTGTTCTCTCCTCACGTTTTTATTTTAAGAACAAAATTATTATGCACAAGCGCTTCAGAGAGACTTTGCAGGAGGTTTTTTTTCATAACTATAGTGCTTGAAACAATAAAAATTGAAGAGACAAATAGTATAAACCTTAAAACTCTGCTTAAAAAATAAAAATGTCTCTTAAACAATTAGTTTATTTATGGGAATTTTAATTTAACTATATGGTTAACATTTCGCATTGATCACCATTTCCGATTTATCAGAAGCTTAAATAACATTATCATTTTCTTTTATTCATATGGAGTTAATACCTGCAGACTAAAATAGGTTGGATATATTAATTAGTAACATCTATAGAGCCACTCTGTTATTTAGACATTTGAATGTGATACATTCAGGAAGCATTTTGCCACGTATATTTATTTGGCTATTTTCACTGCCAAAACTTTCAAGGAAATTTCAAATTTGCTTTTTTTATCTGAATCTTTTTCTGGATTAAAAGTTCTGCATGCAAATTATAATTAAGTATAGTACAGAAAGATGAGCCCACTTTCTGAAGTAATGTTTTCTGTAGTAATTATTAGAAAATGGGTATTTTTTCATAGAAACATCATGCACTTGGAGACCTTGTTCTTGACAAGGGCTTGGCATCAAATTAGTAATAGGTGCTTTTCAACAACATGTCTTCAAAGCAAGTATGTAACAACAAAAAATATGCTATAATCTATTTGCATAGTAAAATAATTTGCAGAACTTCATGAAATGTGCATAATAATGGTTATACAATGATTATATACAGGGGTCCTATATACTATTAAGTGACATTGAGCTCAGAAAAAAACATACTTTTTTTTTTTGTAGGTAAAACTTGCTTTAGCTAAAACCAAATAATCTGGCCTACTTTTTAGTATTTAGAAAGGAATCTTGAGAAAGTAGTGATTCTTACATCTCTTTCACAAGTAGGCCAGGAATATTTGGTGTGTTACCATTTTTTTCCCCTCTTAATAAACTTACCTTTTTTTAGGACACTCACCACTATTCATTTAATTATACTTTATACTCAAAATTTGAGCCCATTCTTCTGAGAAGGGACCACTGTACTAAGCATTTACAGATTTCCCCAAGCCTCTATTTTAGGATGGATTGGTGTTTTGAGAGGGCTTGAAAAATAAAGAGTCCTTAGAATTAAGTCCTCTTGCCCATTTTCCCTTACTCTTCCCTAATACCTAATATTAAGACTAAATAAGTCACAGAGTGGGGAGCTTGGGGTGTAGAGAGCTGCTTCCTTCTTCCAGGCTGCTCAGTACTCTGCTGTAGGAATCTTTGAGGATTTGGGCACAGATGGTAAGTATAAAAGTCAGGGAGATGGCAGCCACAATAGAAAAGTGGGGCTTTACATGATCAACTCCAGGGCTCAATATCCTGAAAGTTATAGTAACCAGTCTAGTCCTGATTATTATGAGTTCAAATAATTTAACAAGGGAAGTTGAAACCTATTTCTTGGATAGCCACAGTTTTCCAGTACACCCAAAATGAAGGAGTAATTTCATTGATAAGTTTTGAGATAGTTTTACCAATAATTTTGTTCTCTCAACAAGTATTTATTGACTACTACTATGTGTCAGATACTATTCTAAGCACTGGGGATACAATGGTGAATAAAATAGATTAAAATTGCTGCCCTCATGGAGCTTACATTCTAAATAATACTGTTAAGCAATAATCAGACATTGTTTACACTGATAACCTTCTGCTGGGAAGATTTTTCTCATCCGTTTTAAAAGGTCTGCTATGGCTCTTAGAATAGGTAAACAAATGGCTTTCTTGGCCTGCAAGGACAAGATTTTCTAAGGGTGACTCAGGACAGCTGCACCCAGTACTACGAAAGTAAATAACAGCCTCAAGTGGAAATAAAAAAAACTCCTCACCAGCATCTACCCACAATGATAACATGGGATAATAATGAATGAAAAAGCTTAAAGAAAACTATTTCCTAGTAATCATCACCAGAAAATATTTGTTTACAGATATCAACTATATATTCTTTCTTTATAGAAAGTATCCCTTAAAAACCAGATAGCTAAAAACTTCGTTCCCCATTGTGCAGCCTATATTTTGAGTTTTGATCTAGCTGACCACGTGTTTTTAAAAGCAAATTTCAAAAGACCCTTATTCTTAAAAATATTATCAAACTTAATATTTAAAGTAACAAGTGTTGATATTCTTTTTTATTCTATCAAGTTATGGAGCCCTTTGGGAAGACTGTAAGATATGCAAGCTGTTTTTTATTTATTTATTTATTTTTAAATTTTGAGATAGTCTTGCTCTGTCACCCAGACTGGAATGCAGTGGCACGATCTCAGCTCACTGCAACCTCTGCCTCCCAGGTTTAAGCAATTCTTGTGCCTCAGCCTCCTGAGAAGCTGGGGCTACAGTCATGTGCCACCATGCCTGGCTACTTTTTGTACTTTTAGTAGAGACAGGGTTTTGCCATGTTGACCAGGCTGGTCTCGAACTTCTGACCTCAAGTAATCCACCTGCCTAAGCCTCCCAAAGTGCTAGGATTACAGGCGTGAGCCACCATGCCTGGCCAGGAAGATATTGGTTAACTGTCCTCACAGGAATGTTGAATTAACAATCAAATGTTTATAAACTGTTGTTTCTTGATTGAAAGATATTGTATTACTACTATCAATTAAGTTATAATTACTGAAGAAGTCACAGTGATAGCAACTAGCTTAATATTAGGCACTCAGGTTTTTAAAGTTGAAGTGGGTTACCACATGATGAGAAGCCCTGGCATTTCTCTATATCCTTAGGTATAAGGTAAGCATATCCAAATAAGCACTTATTTGCATCTCAGGACCTTTGTTCAGCAAATACTAATATATTCTACAATCCTAATTACAGAAAAAAGAAGAGTTCGCAAAAACTTTACTGAAGAAGAAGTAAATTACCTTTTCAATGGAGTTAAGAAAATGGGAAATCACTGGAATTCAATTTTGTGGTCTTTCCCCTTTCAGCAAGGACGGAAGGCTGTGGACCTTGCTCACAAATACCGCAAGCTGACCAACAGCCCCATGTGTGCAGCTTCTTCTTTGGAAGAAGACTGTCAGTTTAGTTTGGATTTTTAAAATACAGTGCCTTGAAAGATACAACATTTAAAGTATTTTTCTAAACTCTCATGAGAAGGAATGTGGAAATGAGGACACAGTTTTTATTAAACAGTTTTTGTGATGCTGAAACTCATCAAGTTATTACAATGATTTATAAAGCAAATATATCTCCAGTGCACAGATTAGTAAGATAAAATTCCTTTGTAAGATCAAACATTTGTTTAGGAATATGCTTTTATTTTTCCTTAAGCTTAAATGACATAAAGAATTATCAGCCTTTAAACGTTATTTGACATTATATTGCAATAAATACTATGTGAGACATTTGGATTTTATACGGTACAAAAGTCCCTCCCTAGAATTCAGAAAGAATAGTTCCCCAAGCTGTTTAACTAAGGTTCCCACACACTAAATCAATATTTGACATTTTGTTAATTAAAACGTTTCCTTGGCTGTGGTGGTGGCTCATATTTGTAATCTCCCACTTTGGGAGGCCAGTGTGGGAGGATCACTTGAGGCAAGGAGTTTAAGACCAGCCTGGGCAACATAGTGAGACCCCCATCTTTACAAAAAATTTAAAAATTAGCTGGATATGGTGGCATGCCCCTGTGGTCCTAGCTACTTGAGAGGCTGAGGTGGGAGGATCACTTGAGCCCAGGAGTTCGAGGTTGTAGTTAGCTATGAGTGTTCCACCGTACTCTAGCCTGGACTAGAGAACTAGACCCTGTCTCTTAAAAAAGTTACCACTTCTATTGTTTACTGTAGTATCGTAGAGGGAAAAATAATTTCTTCTTCTAAAGACTAATTATGCAGTACTTTGAATACTTCCACATTGTATAGTCAGGTTCACTTCTTTGTAGTGTGTTTATTTGCTTTAGCTTTTCAGAAGTGTCTACACTTTCCCCTCTTCTCCCTCTATGTCTTTATCCTTCATATTGATGAGCCCTAGTTACTTCATGTTGCAGCAGAACGATGTCTTGTCCCCTTAGGAGTTTAGTCACTGACACTGGATAATTGTCTTTGCAAAATGTGTCCAGAAATGTCACCCTAAGAAATCCAGCCTGACTTGCATGAGGGGCTAGCTTCTTTATTAGCGTCAGTGAGGTTTTATGGATTCTACCCCAAGATGCTTCTTGTCATTCTACATGACCAACTCTTAGATTATAGTTAATGACGTTTAGATTATAATTTTTATTTTAAATAATTTCCTATCCTATTCCTATGCATTTTTAAATTTAATTTTACTTTATTTGACAGAGTCTTACTCTCTTGCCCAGGCTAGAGTGCAGTGGTGCAATCTCAGCTCACTGCAGCCTCTGTCTCCTAGGTTCAAGCAATTATCGTGCTTCAGCCTCCCAAGTAGCTGGGATTAAAGGCGCATGGCACCATTCCTGGCTAATTTTTTTTTTTTTTTTTTTTTTTTTTTTTTATAGATGGGGTTTTGCCATGTTGGCCAGGCAGGTCTTGAACTCCTGACCTAAAGGGCTTGCTGTGGTCTCTGGGGGCCCTGGAA